TCCTGGGAGGAGCAGGGTGACCTGAGCTGCTGTGGTACTCCTGGGAGGAGCAGGGTGACCTAAGCTGCTGTGTTACTCCTGGGAGGGAGGAGCAGGGTGACCTGAGCGGCTGTGTCACTCCTGGGAGGGAGGAGCAGGGTAACCCGGAGGGAGGAGCAGGGTGACCTGAGCTGCTGTGTTACTCCTGGGAGGGAAGAGCAGGGTGACCTGAGCTGCTGTGTTACTCCTGGGAGGGAAGAGCAGGGTTAGCTGAGCTGCTGTGTTACTCCTGGGAGGGAGGAGCAGGGTGACCTGAGCTGCTGTGTTACTCCTGGGAGGGAAGAGCAGGGTGACCTGAACTGCTGTGTTACTCCTGGGAGGGAGGAGCAAGGTGACCTGAGCGGCTGTGTCACTCCTGAGAGGGAGGAGCAGGGTGACCTGAGCTGCTGTGTTACTCCTAAGAGGGAGGTGCAGGGTGACCTGAGCTGCTGTGTTACTCCTGGGAGGGAGGAGCAGGGTGACCTGAGCTGCTGTGTTACTCCTGGGAGGGAGGAGCAGGGTGACCTGAGCTGCTGTGTTACTCCTGGGAGGGAGGAGCAGGGTGGCATGAGCTGCTGTGTTACTCCCGGGAGGGAGGAGCAGGGTGATCTGAGCTGCTGTGTTACTCCTGGGAGGGAGGAGCAGGGTGGCATGAGCTGCTGTGTTACTCCTGGGAGAGAGGAGCAGGGTGGCCTCAGCTGCTAAGTCCCTGCTAAATTCCTCCAAAATGTCTGCAGCTCCAGAGGTTAGTGAGGGGTTCCTTTAATGCTCATTTGCTGCTTGCTATAAATATACAAATACTTGAATGTCCACAGTCTGGCCAAAAGGTTCACTTTAGTGTTCACAAGGAGAAAATGGGCATCACAATAACACTGCGGTACTGATCCTCCTCCCCTCCATGCCGTCACATTCTTCCATCCAAAGCTCCAGAAATGAATTCGCTGCTGAGTTTTTCTTGACCTTATTAATACCCTCTTCTGAAATTAGATGTTTGTTTTGAAAGTGAGCAAGATTACAATCATTTGGATGCTTTGGGTGCCAATTATAGCCGAACGCAGAGCAGGATGCCGGTTCTTAGCAGCTGAGAAATAAATGAGCTCTTGCTGAAGTCTCAGAGCTCATAATTAGGTAATGCTCGGTGAAAACGCTGCTGCCTCCCCCCATACATATGCATGGACACAAAATAGAACACGGGATGGATGGCGGGGAAGAGGGGCTCGAGCTGGACACGGCAGCACCTTGGCTTGCGCCGTGCTGACGTGACGGGAGAGGTGCGAAGGAGGAAATTCTGACAAAGAGTAGCGGGGTGAGAGAAACTCCATTTTTCTTGTTCAGAAAGATGGAATGCCCGAGGCGGTTCAGGAGAAGGAGTGTGTAAATCATATAAGCAGCAAACCTCTCCTGACAACAATTCTTTGTATAAAATAATTATACCCCTAGCTGACTGTATACATCAGGGCTGAAGTATAAAAACTCGCTGCACAGGAGTTTGCGTCCAGGCCGGTCAGATTCCCGTGGTCTACCATGGCTTGGAAAAAGAATGCCAACAGATTAGCAAGTCCAGATATCTAAAGAAATGGGGGGCCCAAAACTTGATATAGGGGATATACACTGAGTGGCCAGATTATTATGATCACCTGACATTTGTAGGCAAATTAGCTATAATTTGGCGCTGAAGTTGCTAGAGGGCCAGACCATTATAAATAGGGAAGCAGGTTGGTTACCACGACAGTAGAAGTGATTTGTTTCTGAAGATTCGGGGAAACAACGCGATTTAACAGCCTTTGAACGCGGGATGATTGTTGGCGCTCGGAGCCATGGAGCGAGTATCAGCAAAACAGCAGAATTCGTTAAATGTTCAAGAGCAGCTGTTGTTAAAATGTTTAAAGAACGGACTGCCATCCGAAAATCTGGGTCTGAACGTGCGAATTGTGGCCGTCAGCGACTAGTCAATGTTAGGGCAGAACGGGGGAGGGGCAAGACTGGTACAAGACAACAGAAGGGCAACAGTGCCGTGTCAGATTCCTCGCATCACCTTTCAACATCTCTCGGAGTCACGAGGCGGCCCAACGAAGTACTGATGGGGTGGTCATAATAATCTGGTCACTCAGTGTAGAATTTAACTTTTTGGGGGTTTTATGTAATTTTCAGGCCAATAACCTGATTTGGTGGCCGCGGTTTGCTTACATCCAGCACTGCAATTCTTCACTGTCCTGGCCACACTTGTGCATTAGTCCCTCATACAATCCTATGGGGCTGCCTCCAGCAGCGAAAAGGGCTAAGCAAAGAGGTTTGCTAAATTCGACAGGTACCCCAACACATACTTACCCTTCCTTTATGCCCGCGCTGCACCATTGAGCACTGGGAGCTGAAACACACACCCAGAACTTCCAGGTACGGAGAAGCATGTGACAGCACTGGGCCAATCAGCAAAGAGCAGGTTCACTGCAAGCTTGGGAAGGATCCACACATGTATAGCAGATTTCAAGTCAACGGTAGTCAACTTAAGCACTTCAGCTTTGGGGACACTACAAATCCAAACATGCCTCTGCTCCTGGGAGTCATGCCTGTGGCTGTCGGCGTTTTGCAAAGCCTCATGGGACTTGCAGGTCCACAACAGCTGGAGTACAGAGGTTGCCTACCCTTGTTTTAAGTTGTAGAGTGACTTCTCTCAAAATTCACAAGTGTTATCACCTGCATCCATGGTATGGTAACAATAAACGGTATGACTGCAATGTCACAGCCGGTGCAGATGTCAGGCCAACAGACAAACAGATTAGAAATATCTGGAGGGTGCACCTGTGCGTTATACAATGAGCTTTACACCCCTCCACCCCTCTGGATTTTTCCACAATTTCGAGTGTTACAACCTGCAATTACAATGGATTTCATGCGGATTGTTAACATTTGATTCCAGCAACATTCTCTTAAGCAGCAGATTATTTTTTCACATTGTGACACAATTGTTAATGACACAAAAAAAAAAAAAAACATTTGCCCCGAGTCAGAGCTTGGTTTAACCACCTGTGGCTGCGATGACAGCTACGCGTCTTGAGGATGATTCTCTTACCGGCCTCGCCGCCCTCCAATTACTGCAATTATTCTCTGTAAAACTGCCCGGGATCCGTCAGGCTCCATGTGGATGGTTCGTTATCATAAACGCTCAAGTCTTGCCACAGATTCACAATCTTCACATTTAGTTTCAGGTCTGGGATATTCGAAGACGTTCAGGTTCTTGGGTTTGTTTGGGGCTCATTGTCTGTTAGGAGGTCTCATAGGTTTTCCTCTAGAAAAACTATGGAAACCATCAACTTGATCTACTGCTTCATGTTTCACAACGGGCATTTTTGGGGTGCTGAGCAGTTTTGGCTTTCCAAACAGATACAGCATTATGCACCAAGAACTTTAATATCATCAGACAAGGAAACCCATGCAGGCTGGGTCCTCCCCCTGCAGGCTGGGTCCTCCCCAAGCGGGCTGGCTGCTCCCCAAGCGGGCTGGCTCCTCCCCAAGCGGGCTGGCTCCTCCCCAAGCGGGCTGGCTCCTCCCCATGCGGACTGGGTCCTCCGCGAGCTGGCTGATCTTCTGGCAAACAGTAATTAGTGTTCAGTACTCCCCCTTGCAGCACCGAGGTCCTTGGGTGAATCTTGGCCAGTAAACTATATGCATGGAGTTTTCATGTTTTCATTGTGTTTTTATAGGTTGCCTCTGGGTACCACTGCTTCCTCCCACACTCCCCAAAAAATGCAGATAGGTTAATCGGTTCCTGCCTAGCATGTTTTACGATGTCCCTGTGTAGCCGGCGGAAACACAAAAAAACTGACTTGGGATGGAAGGAGGAGTCTATTTATTTAATGTGGTTGATGTGTTTCCTGTTGCAGGCAGGCGGAGCCTATATCTCGATGGCTGTCCTGGAAGATGACTGGGGAAAAAAGGCCCTTAGGATTGTAAACGCCTTCCAGTCATGGACTGATGTGTGTGTAAAGCACTGCATGAATCGCTATATAAATACCTGTAATAGACAAATGGGACCTGAAATGGTTTTATCAAGCAACAGCTTCCTTCTCATCTCTCTTCCATAAAGTCCGGCCTTGTGGCGCATTTTAGATGCAGTTGTCCCATAAAGTTACCGCTGGACTGTTGAGTGCTTGGCTGAACAAGGTCCTTCTAACCCTGTCACTAAAACATGGCGGATGGTTACAGTTATGCTACATTTTTCTCATTTTTAGTAAGGAATTAAATGGTAATCTCTAGAAAGTTCAATATCTGCGACTTCTTTATTTTTAAAACCCAGACCTGATCGGTGCTTCCCCCGAAGCTAGTTGCGTTGTTGCATTGGTCTTTCTCATGTGGTGTTAACAGTCAGTGTATGTAATTTGAGGTCACTTCCCTTGCACGCAAGTGGACCCCACTCAAAAAAATGGTGTAACTTCTAAAAGGCAACTTACCCCAATTTTCACCAAAGCTTATTAAAGGTCTTTCATGAATGGTTAAAGAGGAACTGAGCTGTTAGGTGCAGCGGGAGCACGTATCTTAAAAGTATACACGCCATATGGGTATAGTATGGAAAACAAATCCTGTGACTTTGTCCTCCTCCAGTCATGACCGGTCCGTGCTCTGTATCTTCTATAGCTTCTGCTGGCATCTTACCTGGCACTTCTTTCGCTGCCAGTGTCTTCTTTCTTTGGCCAATGGGCTGCCATTGACGATGTAGTTCCCAGAAAGATGCACCACCCTGGCACTCAGCTTCCACTCTTGTCATTTGTCAGAAGCTGAAACGGTACCTAGTCATTTTTTGGAGACTTCACTTCCGCTTTCTGCATCCAAAATGTTCCCTTTTTTTACATTAATTTTGCAAAACGAGGCCGATTTTTCCGCTTCGATATATGGACTATTTTTGCGTTGATCAGTGAAATAATATCCTAACAAAACCCACTTTAATGAGGAACCATCGGCGTTCGTTGTATGTACATATATCTTACCTCCAGCTCCTGCTCCCGCTGCAGAGCAAACTGCTTGAATGACTTGACGATGAGTCCAGCGTTGGAGCAGTCATAGACAAAGATCGAGGGACTGCCCATCCAGGTCTGCAAGTCGTAGATGGACAGGGGGATGTACTGAGTGTAATTCTACAAGAAAGAACAATAAAGTTATTTTGAATCATCCTGCCAAGCAAAATAATGTGCTGCGCAATAATCAGCTATTGGATAGGGACGTGGTGGATCTGCCATCAACCAAACCTAATGCTCTACTGCGTGCGGTCACAAGTCTAAGGCCATATTTAAAGTGCTCCCGGGGTTATTTCAAAAGCATAAAACTAAAAATAAATCTGTATTTCTATATGGAATTTCTGTTCGTTATATCCCTCTCCTAATAACCAGATCCACCTAGAAATGTGTACATTTATTTATTGAAGATGCCTATAGGAAGTACATCCTCCATGCACTGACAGTTTTTCACTCAGCTGAACAGTTGCCATGGTTTTTTCTTTCCTCATAAAATATGTTTTTCACTTTTTTTTTTTAATCCCTTTGGATTTTAGTGCCGCTGATCTTCTCTGGCCTCTTTGAACCACTTCCTGTCTACATACACTGGTGTCTGCACATCATTGCACTGCACTGGCTTCTTCATAATACAAACAATGGACCGTGCCTGTGCAGTGTTTGTTGGCACGGGTGCTTGTAGACAGGGAAGCATATGACAGGGTGACAAAGCATGAGCACAATTAGGAGACAGGGAAAGAGCGTTGTTATCCTGTAACAGGAAGGGCCCGAACAAGGACCTTCATGGCGGGATCACCAGGATTCTTTTAATGAAAGTCGCAGATTTAAAGAGATTGCAATGACATCAGCGTGCTAAAGCTTATGTGCGATTTTAGATAGAGCTGCAGCTAACGATTATTTTCAAAATCGATTAGTTAGCCGATTAAGTTCGATTAATCGGTTAATCGGATAAACAATAAAATACATTTTAAAAAATGGCTCCAGTGATGGGACTACTAGTTTGTATTGAGATTGCAGTCCATCACAGGAGCAAGCTTGGAGCGGTGGAAGTAAAAAAGAAAAAAAATTGTGTGGTGTGCAATATAGTGAAATGGAAAGTGTAAAATTATACAGCAATGAATGCAAAATGGCACCGGCTATAGAGGACTACAAATCCCAGCAATAGTACATTATGCAGCGCAATGCAGAATATAACCAACTATAGAGGAGTGCTCCTCTATAGCTGGTGGAATTCCGCATGGTGCTGTATAATGTATTATTGCTGGGATTTGTAGTCCTCTATACAGCGCAGTGCAGAATACCACCAGCTATAGAGGAGTACAACAAATCCCAGCAATAGTACATTATACATACAGTGTATAATGTATTGCTAGGATTTGTATTCCTATGTATAATATACAGCACAATGTACCATCAGCTATAGAGGACTACAAATCCCAGCAATACATTATAGAGCACCATGTGGGGGAAAGTGCAGGCTTACCTGAGCAGTCTTCCAGCAACTTGCTTCTGAGATCGGGTCTGTCTGTCGACGGCTGTCATCCCCCCACACCTGCTCCTCCTTACTACATCTCCCCGCGTCCCTGTGGATGTGGGCGGGCGGTGAGTGTGAGGCGGGAAGGAGGTGCGTTGTGTAAAGCGTGGATGCAGGTGGGCGGGTCTGGCAGCGATGAGCGTGATTTGGGGAGGAGGTGCGGCACGCAGCGTGTGTGTGGAGTGTGTGTGGAGCCGTGAACAGGGCCAACTGATCGGAAGCCGATTAATCGATTATTGAAAAAGTTGACAACTTTTTCAATAATCGATTATAATCGATTATGTCGATTAGTTGTTGCAGCCCTAATTTTAGAGATTGGGTAAAAGCTTCCATCCATTGCAGAACCAGAACAATGTGTTTAAAGTTTGATGAGCAAAATAAAAATAATAAACCAACCAGCTGTTGTCTAGACACAAAATATATGAATTTATCATGCAAGCAGAGCAGCGAGTTAATGGATACCTAAAAAAAAAAACAGTGATGGGACCGAACAGCGAAACTTAAATTCATCCAAAGTTTTAATTAAGTGAAACATCCAGGCAGAACCGACAGAACCGTCAGAACATCGGCACAATCAAAGTCAAAGCCGTACAAAGTTTACTGTTCATGAAACACAACTGAATTGGCTGAGCATTGCCATAAAATACAGCTGCACACCTCACAAGGCGCGAGGATTAATATACAGGCTGAGCCGATGCCGCCGCAAAATGAAGAGAGAAAAATATATGTCCCGGTCAGGTCTGTAGATCAGGCTGAAGAGGAAAGGACAAAGGAAACTGTCTATACAAACCTTGTACACAGCTCACAGCCCCAATCCCGGCTTAGTAACCCCCCCTCAATGTAATAAAGACCGCTCACTGCTGCTCTCCCTTCTTGTGTACGGTGACTGGTCTTATCTCCACCCCCTCCTGTAATAAAGACCGCTCACTGCTGCTCTCTCTCCTTGAGCAGGGTGACTGGTCTTGTCTCCGCCCCCTAATGTAATAAAGACCGGTCACTGATCTCTCTCCTTGTGCAGGGTGACTGGTCTCGTCTCCGCCCCCTCCTGTAATAAAGACCGCTCACGGGTGCGATCTTTGTGCAGGGTGACTGGTCTGGTCTCCGCCACCACCTTTAATAAAGACCGGTCACTGCTGCTCTCTCTCCTTGTGCAGGGTGACTGGTCTTGTCTCCGCCCCCTCCTTTCATAAAGACCGGTCACTGCTGCTCTCTCTCCTTGTGCAGGGTGACTGGTCTGGTCTCCGCCCCCTCCTGTAATAAAAACCGCTCACTGCTACTCTCTCCTTGTGCAGGGTGACTGGTCTTGTCTCCGCCCCCTCCTGTAATAAAGACCGCTCACTTCCGGGTCCCTCCCACATCTCTGCACAGGCTATATACAGCACAGTGATGATTAGTGATGGGTGAATCTCTGTTTGACAGACAGGTTCAGCAAACGCATCAACAAGTTCTCAATTGGCAACATTTTGTGCAAACCCCATAGAAGTTATTGGGAGGCGAATCTTCAAAATCAATTCTCTTTATTTTAAAGGCTAATGGGGTTTGCAAAACAAAGGGCATGAGGGGCCAAGTACTTAAGCATTTACATAACATGGCGAGATTCCTAAACCTGCATCTGAAGCGGAGCACGTGTAGGATAAATTACAGCAAAAGTGACCCTTTTATCCTTGATGGGGATCTGTTAAGGACTCCTTTAACAGGGAACCCCATGGAGCAAACAAAACAAATGGCATAGGGTCCCCTCTGCAAATCCATACTAGACACTTAACCCTTTTGGGGGGTCTGGCATGGACTTCTTTATGGGGGAACCCCATGAAGTAAACAAATGGACTAGGATCCCCTTTGCAAATGAATGCCATACCCTTATTCTTGATGGGAGTGTGGTATAGACTTTAAGGGGAAACCCTACACACAAGAAACCCCACAAGGAACGAATGGGGTTCTCCCCAAAGTCTAAGCCAGACCTTTATCCAAGCATGCAGGAAAAGGCGGTGAGGTGGAAAAGGGGGAGAGTTGGGCAGCAAAGGTGCCTTGCCTCTTCCCAGCACAGCACCGCATCCCAACATCCTTTCCCCAAGAAGATGTGGTAGTTAGATTATTCCACAATCTGGAATCCCTCTTCTGCCCACCCCATATTATAATCATTATTTGAGTGGAATGATGGGACATCGCATCACCAGCAGAAAAGCTTACAAAAAAAAAATGAATGTGAGGTGATCCATTCTTCTCAACCTTCTATGATGTAAGAGAAGGACTCCTTTAAGCATCGCGGAGAAGCTCAGGGCCCCTAATCGGTGCCAGAATCATTTTCCGGTAAGATTTGCGATTTTCCGCTTCCCCGGGATCTTTTCGTAAAGGCCCAGAGACGTCGCCCTTGCCTGGGCCCTGCGGCCAGACGCTGGAGTGTACGGTATATTTACATTTTTTATTCCTAATGTGTCATTTATTTTTAATGTGTAATGCCGCGAGAGGGAGGACGGCTATAATTTTGATGCAAAGTCTGCTTTAAACCCGCTGGGGCTTTTTACTTTGCCTTTTATTAGGATTTAAAACTAACCAATGTAATAATGTGAAGGATAAATAAGAAGTGTAAGTGCAATGTCAACAACTCCAGCAGCTGAAAGGTAGAATATGGCAGAGCTAAAACGAGGAACCTCGGAGGAGCGGGACGAAGGGTTAAAAAAAAGAGGTACAGTCCCCACCAGGGATAGTTAGGAGTAGAGTTGAGGTTGGGCTTGATCCCAGTTTGCCTGAGTTCACCAGGCCCACTCAGAACACTACTACCCCCTTCCTCCCAACCCTAATCAGTGGCAGCAGGTCATTCCCCGCCCCTTTGTGACGTATATCTGCCGATGTGTGGAATGCGCCTCCCCGCAACTGATTGGAAGGGGTGGCAGTCAGAGTTTTGAGCGGGCTTGGGCAAACTGGGTTCATACCAAGCCAAGGCTCATCCATAGTTAGGAACAATGATAAATCAGTGTCCCCACAATATGTTGTAATTACTTGTGAGTTGAGCAGTTGGCATTGGACCCAATCTAAATTCTTTATATAGAAGCTAGACCATTGCGTGCCGGTTTCTGATTGGTTGTTCTACATTTTATTACATGTTAAGCTAGCGAGTCCGAGTATGCCAAAGCCCAAAACGTCTTGAAGAATTGAGCCCGACAAAGCCAACGCATGGCCAGCAACGTGAGGGTTAACCCCTAACGCGTTGAGTAATCGAGAAGGGTATAAGTCAGATTAGTGCTGCAGCTGCCTTTTGCAGGCAGCGGGAGGATTAGTGCGCCATAAGCGGGTCTCTTAAGAGACGCGCCACCAGCGTTTTACTGTGACTTTCAAAGTCTCGGAGACGCTGCTCGGCACAGCCTCCATCCCACCCGGGAAATCAGAGGCGAGGAGAAGAGCGGGCGAGGCGGCGGTGCAGGAATGAGGCTGGGAGAATCTGGATAAAGTGGGATTTACAATCACAAGAAATGCAAACACTCCAACACACTCTCAGACAAATTGCTTCTTGTATTATCTTAGGGAAGAGCGAGCCGGAGGGGGGGGGGAGCCGAAGTGGCGGCAGATGGAGAAGATCCTTCAAGTGCAGAAACAATATACTTATAAATAAAAACAAAATCACCCCGGCCCATGCTTAGGAAAACAATACTATGACGTTACTAATTTAGCAATATCACATACAAGGGAGAGAAGAACACACACTAGGATTGTATGCTTTACGATCCCAACAGTCCAGCACATGTGGAATGATTTTTTTTAAAAAGGAACGTTTGTGTGGCCATTTCCTCTGAAGGTCTCAACCTGGAAATAGCTTCCGCCATTCTATAAGCTGTGTTCTGATGCTGGGGTCCCCTAAAAATTTCCTCGGCCAAAAAGGGGTCACGAGTGGAGAAAGTTTAAGAAGGCCTGCTCTAGTGGAGTGTGAAAGAAGTAAAATTAAAGTTTGCAGGTTTGAGTTGAAGTTCCATCATGGATGCTGTCTGCATAGAGTTTGTATGTTGTCCTCTGGGTGCTCCAGTCTCATCAACCAACAAAACGCTCCCCCCCCCCCACCAAAAAAAGAAAACTGGATTGACTTTCCTAAATCTTGCCTCTTACTATATGCAAGCAGTAAGGAGGCTTAGATTGTCAGCTCCTGTGGGCTAGGAACTGATGTGAATGGAGCCCTAGGATGATTGCTCTCTCTCCAACTTTTGCGGCGATGTGTTTTTGCACGTAGGCACACTTGGTGTGTTTTTGTATGCGAGTGTACTGTACATGGAGGTGGAGAGCTTTATATTAAAAAAATATAAAAAAAATAAAAGGTTAGTCTTTTTAATGTTACCTTAATTTTTCAACTCTTTATGGAGACACCACAGGTGTATTAGACCCCTAATGTCACCGATATAACTCTCTGAAGCTGATAAAGCACAGCCAGGGAAATAACCGGACGTGACAAAATCCTCGCCGCTTCTGGGCTCAGTAACCGGATGGGAGATCAGACACTGGAAGTGTACCGATTCCTCTCCAGTGAAGCCGGATTGGGGAACTGTGCTGGTCCTGAGCCCGAACGAGGGCCAGCAGAGCCCAGTATATACTTCAGCGGGGTGTGGTTGGCATCTTTTATGTGATCGGGTGGCTCTAGAGCTGCCTAGATCACTTGTATGTACAAAGCTGGGTCAGCTGTGATCTTGGTGTTAAATACTTTAGGACCAGGACGTATATATGCATACGGAGGGCCTAAAAGTGGTCGCCACCCTTTCAGCACCATACATGTGATCGAGAGCCTCTATAGCTGCCTTTTATGTAAAAAGCTGGACGGCGGCTGAAATAAAACAATACCAAGATCTGCTGCAGCTGTGATCCCGGTATTAAACACTTTAGGACCAGGATGTATATGTACAGGTGAAACTCGAATAATTAGAATATCGTGCAAAGTTCATTTATTTCACTAATGCAACTTAAAAGGTGAAACTAATATATGAGAGAGACTCATTACATGCAAAGCAAGATAGTTCAAGCCGTGATTTGTCATCATTGTGATGATTATGGCTTACAGCTCATGAAAACCCCAAGAACCCCAAATCCACAACCTCAAAAAAGTAGATTATTACATGCAATCAATAAAACAAGGATTGTACATAGAACAATATCAGACCTCTGAAAAGTACAAGCATGCATATGCACTCAGTACTTGGTTTGGGCCCCTTTTGCAGCACTTACTGCAATTACTTTTACACGATATTCTAATTATTCGAGTTTCACCTGTATGTGTGTGTAATTATATATATATATATCCTAAAGTGGTTTAAAATGTTAATATTTAGGTATACATTTAAATTTATCATTTAGATTTAGAACGAGGTCTTATCATTTATGATTTTAGCAATTGCGTTTACATCTAATTTATTTGCATAAATTAAATGCAAACCCAGACACAGCACATACAGGACTCAAAACCCAGACTGTCCAGGTGAATCCGGGACAGGTGGCAACCCCAGACCATGTATTGAACTGAGTACATACAGGCAGTTGTGTTTTTCTTATGGCAGGAAGGATCTGGAAAGTAGCATTTGAAATGAGTTTGAATTGATATCTGAACTTGTTGCTCCTTTTGCAATGCATCACGAAAATGTGCTTTTTTTGCATGGGAATGCATCCTGAACACTCCACAAACTGAACTCTGGTTGCCCATTGCTGACCTTCAGGAAAAAAAAAAAAAAAAAGAGGGCTTGCAAAGCTGACACTGACTTACTGTATACAGTGCTGAAATGCAGCACATTCTTAGCATTCTCCACTGGTCCCCCTGAAGTCTGGGGCCCCAGGCAGACACCCAGTCTGCCCTTCTTTTATTCCGCCAGTCCATTATAGCTTAGTGGATTTAGCAGTGACACACCACATGGGCACTTCACCTTCAAATGCCGCCTTCTCTGTAGTGTATTCCATCTGCTCTTGATCATACCCAACATAAGCAGGATAATATCCATGAAACAGATCTGACTAAAGCACAGGTCACCTATCACAATGCGCACAGGAGATGGTTAACACCTCCCTCTTTTGGATCTCTGGCATCTGATTTAAATCCTGATTAAAGGCAGGTGTTCCAGTGCTCATTAATGAAAGGCGCTGATGTGGTTCGGCGCGCGGCTCCCACACACAAGTACAAGGTCTGCCAAAAAACCCTTCGCACTGCGCCGGCCTGGGAATCCTCCATTATTAATGAATTCACAGATGCTGCAGACGTATGTGCGGCACTAGATCAACGCCTGCTTCTTACAGTACAGACGGGAGGGGTGCCATTCTGCTAAAGAGGACGATGAATGAATGGATTTAACCCTTTCACCGCTAGAGGTCCGTGAAGACTGAATGGCCGGGTCAAATTTGGTAACGTCAGCAAGAGCCGGTTAACTCGACAAGAACGCTGACTAATCTGAATACCCAAATTATTTTTACACTGGTTATTAGGACTAGGGATGCACCGATACTAGTATCTGTGCCGATACCGAGTACCAAATACTCAGATGCCTACCCGAACTTCCGGTATCAGGAAGCCGGCTCAATGCTCCCTCGTCACTTGGCGAGGAGGGAGCATGGAGCTGGCCAATCAGGAAGCCAGGCAGCGTGTAATGACTCGCTGCCTGGCTTACTGATTGATCGGGAAGATAGCCAATGAAGAGGCCAGGTGGTGATTCATTACCCCACCCGCCCCCGACCCCCCTGGCTTCCTGATTGGCCAGAAACCCGGCTTCATGCTCCCTCGTCACCTGGCGACGAGGGAGCATGAAGCCAGCTTCCCAGCCAATCAGGAAGCTGGGCGCCGTGTAATGACTCGCCGCCTGGTTTTCTTACTGGTCAAGAAGCTGGCCAATTGGAAGCCAGGCGGCGAGTCAGTACCCTCCTCCTGGCTTCCTGATTGGCCAGAAAGCCGGATCCATGCATGGAGACTGTTTCCCTGCTAATTGGGTAGCCGGGTGGCTAGTCTTTACACGCCGCCTGGCTTCCCTAATGGGACTTTCAGTATCGGCATTCGGTATTGGCAAGTACCGAAAAAAAAAGTATTGGTGCTCGATACCGAAAAACTGGTATCAGTGCATCCATAATTAGGACATATAAGGCATTTGTTTGGTACACTTATAATAAAAACCTACTCTATTTTTTATTATAATAGATGTGGGAATTAAAGTGCCACACCAATTAAAATAGTTCAGATACAACTTCATTCCATTACGGTCAGGGGACATTCAGATAGAGTATTCAGTATTATTCACATTTATTTTAGACTGACAAATGTACAAAAAGGGGGAAAAAAAGTTGATTTTTTTTTAATTATTTTATTTTTTTTATGAATAGAATTAAATCTGACAATTACAGTATTAAACAGAAGCACACTGCCTTCAGACTGCTGGTACCACAGACTAGTTTGAAAGCCTTCAGCCTGATTGTGATCACTAGTTGTGTGGCTGACCTGGTGGTCACATGAAATGCTATTTGGGTGGACTGACCCTTTCTTTATGCAATCTCACATGACAGCCCAGCAAACACAGCACTACACACCTTATTGAAGACCCATATCTCGCCATTGACAGTGGGTCGTGGGACTCCATGTCCATTGTAGTGAAATAGCACTCTCTCTTCCTTGGCGTTCCTCCTTAGGGATGTGCAGAGTTTCTTCACCTCGTCTACGGTGGGGTCCAAACTTTGCTTGTAGCGGGCCTGGCAAACAAAAGAAAAATGAGGCGGTTATTGAGACTTTCATATATTGGCTCTTGGCTTCTGATCTCTTACAACTGGCAGAACAGGAGAGTCTATAGAGTCTATAACGAGCCGAGGGTTGGCAGGGATGGACCTGGGCTAGAAAGAAGCTCTTGCATATCAGTATAAAAGTTTACATGTTAGTCTGTAAAAAAAAAAAAAATTGAGGTGATACAACTTCAACTTAGAACATTAGAGCTGATGCCAAGAACAGACTTCCATCAGAGGTAGTGAGCCAGTCAACAGTAAGTTAATTTAAACATGCGTGGGGCAAACATAAAGCTCCCACAAAAACTTGAAAGGTGTGCAGACTCAATGGACCACTTGGTCTTCTTCTGCTGTCACTCATCTGT